CCCCAGCTATGGGTAAATACCAGGACAGACCAGGTTCTATAGCCTTGGATGGCAACTGGTCTACCTCAGAAGGAAATGGCAGCCTACTACGGGGATGAAATCTGCCTCGTCAGTCTTGTATCGAAAGATACATGATCGCCTCATCGTGTATCACATAGCTGACTGATATATCCATCGAATTATATGGCAGGGGATGTTGGACAATCTCCTCATAGATGTGTGAGTAGATAACAGAAATGTGAGCGGGGGCCTTAAAAAAGGAAGAAGAGCCATAAGGGATAGTGTAGAGGGTTCTATAACAATTGCGTACCAGACACTTGTGACCCTGGACATTTGCGCCCCTAGATAAATGCGTAATTGCGTACCTCTGATCATTTTTTAAGCTTTTCAAGGTAACTGCCATAAATTTTGAAAAGGCATAGGTACTAATCATAATTTTTTTAAAAAAAGAAATGAAAAATTTATTTTTGTTGAAAATGCAATGACAGACTAACATTGTTGCACTACACATCACCAGTATTTTTTTGTTTCATCGCCATTTTATCTTATGATAGTGATAGCTGTAATTTTTCTCGTCCACAAATATTTTTCTATTAGTGTTTGATTTTTGGGACTAAGCCATGTCTTGTCTTGTAACGGCATTCACCCGGGGTGGGTTGAGCCGGCTCCAATATTGGAGTTTCATGGGAATTTGGAATTCACAAGCGGTCCCCAAACCCGCATGTATAGCACATGAGATTTGATTATAGTGGTGAAGGTTTCGTGCAGGACCATCCACACTTTTTGAAGGGCCGATTACAGAGACCTGGTGCACTACGTGCCACAAGGTCCCCAAACAATCCTTCGCAGGTTTTGAATTCAGAGTTTTCCTTTACCAGTTACCATCCAAGGCTATAGAACCCAGTCAGTCCTACTATTTACCCATAGCTGGGGGGAGAAGAAGAGGATTCACACCTTTCCCAAGGGTATGTAATGGATTCGACTGGAATTCGAACTCGGCTCTCCGATTCCTCAATCCAAGCCGCTATCCATTACTCCACCGTGCCTCCTCTAAGCCATGGCTTCCATATAAAAATATAATCTATTAAATCCAAAATCTATTATATATTTGTGGTACTCATTTGCTCACTTTCTTTTTATCTGCCGTGTCCTTTCAGGACGTAGGCGATCATGGCTCTCCACCTCCCTCTATCCCTTGTAGCTCTCAACAATTTCCTTCCCTCTGCTTCCCCCTACACCCAGACCAGTTCTGTCATCCACTTGCTTAAGCCCGCCAGGTATGTCACGCGTTGTTTTCCCTTGTCTCTCTTTCTCTCTATTCGACTCGTGAGTATCAGATTCTCCAGGCCCTTCTTCCTCATTATCTGTCTCAGAAACTTCAGCTGTCTCTTCCTGATGTTAAGTATAAGACTCTTCCTGGAGTCTTATACTTAACATCAGTACTGCTGGAGTAATTTTCTCTTGTTTTAAAAAATAAATTTTTCTATTTTTTTTATTCATGGTAACTACTTTTCTGCTTGCTTAGAGTAATTAAAGGTATTGTTCAGCAAATTTTTATGTTAAACAACTATTTAAAAAAAAAAAGTGGTAATTCAAAAACTTATCAGAAGTACGCAATTATCTAAGGGCGCAATTGTCTTGTACGCAATTGTCCAGGACAAAAATAGCCAATACGCAAATGTCCGTTCACCTGTGGAGAGCTATTATCGTTTATGTCTTAAAGAAAAAGAAGATGTGTATTATTAAATCAGTGATAATTATTTTGATGATATTACTCGTTTTTCCTTCTATCCAAATTTTAATTAATATGGGCCAAACAAAACGAAAATTGTTCAAATATTTGAATGAAAAAAAACAGATAGAAACATTAATAGAAATTATTAAAACCTCTTGTAAGTCATATCTCACGGTGAGGTAATGGATAGTGGCTCGGATTGAGGAATCGGATAGCTAAGTTCGAATTCCAGTCGAATCCATTACATTCACTTACGTGCTAATAACCTTGGGAAAGGCATGCATTATTTTCTCCTCCCACCCAAGGACAGACCAGGTTCTACATGACAACTGGTCTACCGTCTATAGCAGAAAGAAATGGCAACCTACTGCGCGAAAAAATCTGCCTCGTTAGTTATGTATCTCGCATGGCACATAACTGACTGACTTGCAAGAGACCATAGTATAATCCAAGTATTTCCGTCTAACCCGGTTACAGACAGAACAATTACCTGCAAACGTTAAATTCATGAATGTTAATCTCTCATTTGAGTGCAAAATTTGAAAATAGAAATGCATAAGTAACTAATAAGTAGCAAAGGAATGCGTTTTTTTTCTCCTTTACTGGTGCTCTAAAGATATTTGATATCTCAGGATGTTGCAACTTGAAGCGTTTGGAAACATACACGAAATCCCCACGTTTAGCCGACTCAAAATCGTTTTGCTAAGCGTATTATCTGGGCCGACAACTATCTGTATGTAGACATTCAGTGGGTGTTATCCAAGGCGGAGTAGAGAACGATACGAGATGATTCCGACGGCTGGCAAAAAGGATGATGCTTCGTAGGCCTCGCCAGATGAGACATCTGCAAGGAGGCGGAAACACTATGTTTTCAAGCAGGAATGTATCCATGTGTTCGTTTGTGGGATTCTTTTGAGATGATTAGACGATTCCTGCCAAATTCTGCTTTCCGTGCCAAAAAATAGCTTTATTCTGGAAATAACTTTTCTTTTTTGACATATTATGTTGATTTATTCATCTAACCTAAGTCGCAATTCTAGAAATTCTAGAAATAAGGAAATCAATTACTAGGTCTGCTGCTAGGAAAGTTGGTGTGTTGTGTTGTTCTAAGGATTTTTCTCACCAGAATCTATCTTACACATTTATAAGTTTACCGTTTTTCCATACATTACCTATTGATTTTACCTCTAGTCTGGTGCTTCTGCTATGCATTTAGAGATTTTTGTCGAAATGGAAAGAAGAATCTGCAATATTATTGGTGCTGTCCTGGCATCTCGGCTCTAGTCACATTCTCACCGGCGTATCTTAGCATAACTCTACTTGCTCTATATTTCATGGTTATTGTTCTGATGACCTTTTCGTTGCTGTTAAATTTATTTATCCCACCAAACAAATTGTACATATGGGAACTAGTTGGGACTACTTAGAGACCCTGAGGTATAATGGTGATTGTCTTAACAATCGTAAGTAAGGATGTGTTGTTTTGGTGCAAGGAATACTGTGGCATGTTTGTGTCAGTAAAACAAGACAGATTGAAAAACCAACCTACTCTTATCCCTATTTTCTCGCCTTGTGCCACCTTTTTGTATTTTCAAAATAAATATCGCTTTCCTATTTTGGCTCTGAGACGAATTTAAGCGCAATACTAGATTGGAAATTGGAAATTCTCTATTACTATGCATTCTTTTAGGGATAATTTTCTCGAGCCAACAGGCATCTTTATTTTAGAACCATATACATCACTTGTGCAAATTAATTCAAACAAAACGATTAATTCCGTTACTATTTACTTTTTTCGTATTTTTCCAATAAAACATGACCCATTGCACATGTTTGTACTTCGTATGTTCATTCCACGAAGTCATTCTTTGCAGATTGACCACAGATTCTCGATTGGATTTAAATCAGGAGTTTCCTTGCCATTCTATAATACTTTCAATGATAAAGCTTGCCAGTGTGTTCATGAAACGTTATGATTTTCGTAAGCTTCCTTGCAGTAATGTCCATCGCAATTAATGGCCGTAGGACAACTAATCGACAGTCGAGACAATAGTGTTTGGGCGTGATAAAAATCTGATGCAATCACAGATGACGCAATATTTTTCAAGGTCAAACAGATTTTATCATACACTCCGAAAATAGATTCATATTACTGCACACTACTGCAAATGACCTAATCTGAGGGAAAAAATGGAAATCGTTTACACCCTGTCATTCCAGTGGGTTTAAAACTGAATTATGGTGAAAGCTGATCGAGTAAAGCAAGAATTTTTTTTAAATTATTTGCACACTTGTTCTATAATAGACGGTCATCTTTTGGATATCATTACCAAACAACTTTATTATCCTCACTTTTTTCCATTTATTCTTACCCAAGAACAGATGGGCGATTACGTTTGTCCTATGTTTAGCTTAGGAATTTGAAATCATTTTGCCTGCCACCTCGCATCTTCCGCCAATTTTTTTGTAGCGCTCTACTTTCTGGGTTTGAGCGGCATTAATATTGTCCTCATTTGGATCTGAGGTTTCAAATAGATGAAGAACATCCCCACGTCACACCAGGTTACCAAAGCTGATGACGACAAAAAACAAAATAATGTTGCAATAAACGATAATAACCTGTAGTGTTTTATTGCTTTATTATCAAAATGTTACTAATTTGACAAATGATCTATTGCAATTATATGTAAAGATGCGCTTCGTCAGCTTTTGTCGACGACGTAAGCAAATAAAAAAAAATAGCTGTTTCTTGAAACAATAGGACAAAGTTTTAAACATTTCACACAGCGCATATTGTTAAGTCCCTTTCAAACGTCAGAATTGAAGCATTGTGCTTGAAGGACATCTGCGCCATCTGTTGTCTTTAAAATTTGCACTGGCATTCTTTCAGAGCACAATAAAGTATTGTTTCAGACATTTTTCCGTCAGCTCATAATTTAAGTCTACGTGGCGATGGTTACTAAATTTCTACTAACAAGTCATTAAATTCATCTACTCTTTATTTTTGAACAAGTATTGTTGTACTGTCCAAAGTTGATGTATAAATCACCAGCAAGCAAAATAAACATTAATAACGCAGATAGATAAAAAAAAAAAACAAACATGAAGTCAACAGTTTCATTAGCAATAAAAAAGAGAAAAGAAAGAATACAGCCAACTAGAAGTAAACTGAGGTTAAAAAAGAAAAGAATACACGAAAGGAGGCAATAAAATGAGGTAAAAATAGAAAAAGAAAAAAATACAGTAAGGGAGGCAATGAGGTAAATTAAAAGAAAAAAAATAATACCTCAAGGGAGGCAATAAAATGAGATAAAAAATACAAAAAAAAGAAAATAGCAAATGTGGCAATAAAGTGAGGTACAAAAAGAAAAGAAGAAATAATAAAAATAAGTGGCAATAAAATGAGGTAGCATAAAAAAGCGAAGATAACACGGCAAAGGAGGCAATAAAATGAGAATAAAAAGAGAAAAGAAAAAGGGATACAGAAAAGAAAATACAGAAAAGGGTAAAAAAATACAAAGACAAAGGAAGAACGAATACAAACAAGGAGCAATAAAATGAGGTAAAAACAAAACAAAAGAAGAACGAATACAAACAAGAAGCAATAAAATGTCATAACAAAGTGTTTCCGAAAAAGATAATCGATGAAGACAATTAATAGTTCAACAAAAGAAAAATAGAAAAGAAAAAGGAATACAGAAAAGACGACAATAAAATGAGGTAAAAACAAAACAAAAGAAGAACGAATATAAACCTGTTTGCAATAAATGAGGTAACAAAAAGGTAAGAAATTGATAATACGATGATAGTCCAATAGAATAAAAAGAAAAATAGAAAAGAAAAAGGAATACAGAAAAGACGACAATAAAATGAGGTAAAAACAAAACAAAAGAAGAACGAATACAAACAAGGAGCAATAAAATGAGGTAACAAAGGTAAGAAAAGATAATACGATGAAGGAGGCAATAGAATAAAAAGAATTTGAAAAGAAAAATAGAAAAGAAAAAGGAATACAGAAAAGACGACAATAAAATGAGGTAAAAACAAAAAAAAAAGAAGAAAAAATACAAACAAGAAGCAATAAAAATCAAGGTAACAAAAATAAGAAAAGATAATACGATGAAGGAAAATAGAATAAAAGAAAATACACAAAAAGAAAAAGGAATACAGAAAAGACGACAATAAAATGAGGTAAAAACAAAACAAAAGAAGAACGAATACAAACAAGGAGCAATAAAATGAGGTAACAAAGGTAAGAAAAGATAATACGATGAAGGAGGCAATAGAATAAAAAGAAAAATAGAAAAGAAAAAGGAATACAGAAAAGACGACAATAAAATGAGGTAAAAACAAAACAAAAGAAGAACGAATACAAATCTTCCTATTCAATAAAATGAGGTAACATTTTAAGAAAAGATAATACGATGAAGGAGGCAATAGAATAAAAAGAAAAATAGGAAAGAAAAAGGAATACAGAAAAGACGACAATAAAATGAGGTAAAAACAAAACAAAAGAAGAACGAATACATTTTTGGAAATAATCCAAATAAACAAAGGTAAAAAAAGATTTCGGAATGATTCTTGGAGGCAATAGAATAAAATGAAAAATAGTCTCAAAAAGGAATACAGAAAAGAGACAATAAAATGAGGTAAAAAACAAAACAAAAGAAAACGAATACAAACTAGGACCAATATAATGATCTAACAAAGGTAAGAAAATTTAATAGATGAAGGATTAATAGATAATAAAAGAAGAAAAGATAAATAAAAAGGAATACAGAAAAGACGACAATAAAATGAGGTAAAAACAAAACAAAAGAAGAACGAATACAAACAAGGAGCAATAAAATAGGGCAATATATATATATATATATATATATATATATATATATATATATAATAAAAAGAAAAAATAGAAAAGATAAATATAACAGAAAAATACGACAATAAAATGATATAAAAAAAAACAAATGAAGAACGAATGAGAATAATACAATAAAAAAGATAAGAAAAGATAATACGGAATGAAGATAGGATACAAGAAAAAAGAACTTTTAGAGTTTGATAAAAAAATATATAGAAAAGATACAATAAAATGATAGATAAAAACAAAAAAAAGAAAAGATACAACATAGAAATAAATGAGATAACAAACAAAACAAAAGATAGATAAATAGATGAAGGATCAATAGAATGAAAAGAAAAATAGAAAACAAAAGATTTGGAGAAAAGATCAGACAATAAATGAGGAAAAATGAAAACAAATAATATGAATACAAACAAGGAGCAATAAAATGAGGTAGCATAGGAAAGAAAAGATAATACGATGATGGAGGCAATAAAATGAGATAAAAAGAGAAAAGAATACAGCAAAGGCGGCAACAAAATGGGATAGAACATGAAAAGCAGGAAAATACAAATAAGAGGGAAATAAAATGAGTTGAAGCTAGAAAAGAAAGGATAATGCAGCAAAAGAAGCAATAAAATGAGGTAAAAAAAAAGAAAAGGAAAGAAAATACAGCTAATGAGCTAATAAATTGAGACAAATACTGAACACAGCAAAGAAGGCAATAAAATGAGGTACGAACAGAAGGAGAAGAATGTTTCCAAACGAGAGGTAAACACAATGATGTAACATAAGAAAAGAAGAGATAATACAGCAATTGAGACATTAAAATGAGATAAACAGAGAAAAGAAAAAAAATACTGGAGCAAACAAGGCAATAAAATGAGTTAAAAATTAAATAGAAAAAATATAATTTGTATGGTAGTAAAGAAATAAAAAGAACATTATTCGGACAGGTCCTTTCTTTGTCGCCATATTACAACGTTTTGGCTGTTGTGACATCTCCGGCATATTCTTCAGGTGGTTAGAATGTTTTTTATCTCAATTTATTTCGCTCACTGGTGTAGACTGTTCTAGTTCCATATGCCATGTTTAATGGATAAAAGTTGATTTAAAATAAGTATTGAACTTTGATCTTTGGGTCTTGTCACTAAAATTATAACCACTTTGTTTTTTTATCGGTTTTGCCATTCTGCAAGGAATTTCTGGTTCTTATTTTTCTATATTCTTCAACAACCATTTTTAAAGTGAGCGCGTAATATTGCAATTTTTTGTTTTTTTTATCATTGATAACAGCAAAAAAGTTATATTACACTATAACGGGTCTCCATTCATACACAGATCCAAGGTTCACTTAAACAAATTTGCTGTGGATAAAGAAACATGTTAGATCCAGAAAATTTATCTAACCAAGGCATTTATCATGTGTTTATTTGAGGACATTGATTAACAGGATCTCCTTTGTGAGTTCAGTACCCAGTTAAGGCAGTGGAGAACTTTCAGAGGGAATTAACAAGAAAACTGATAACTGGACATCCATTAAACATGTAAATGGAACTAAAACAGTCTACCCCAGTGAGCAAAATAAAGGGTTCTTTCGGTTTTTCCAACCACCTGAAGAACAATGGTTTTGTTTTGGCCGAAACGTTTTTTAATAAATATGCCGATAAAACATTCGGACAATAGTTCGAAATTTGTAAATAATGTACTTTTAGTCTCATCTCAGAAATTTACACAAATACAGTAAAAGATGAAAAGAAAAAATACAGCAAAGGATTTACAAAAAAAAGTTATATTTTTAAAGAAGTTCTAATAAATTGTCCAAAATTAACATGGGCTTGTTTGTTGTCACCTAATGTGTTGTGTTTGACAATTTTAGCTTGTAGAAGGCAATGTAACAATTGAAGACATTTCGGAATGATAATCTTGAAATTCAGGTAATTAATAAATAGATGCATATAAATGTAATCAGTGCGTATGAAGTAGAATCCCTGACAACCGGACTAAGAAGGCCTTCCGGATATGAGGAATTGGTTACAAAGTCTGGATATGAGGGGTTATATTTAGATTAAAATAAAATTAGAAATCAGGTTTAACATTTATTTTCAATGTTTTATAGTAAAAAAAATAAGCTAATGGCGAGTGAAATATAAAAAAAATAATTTTAAGGAAAAAGAAATATATTATGTAATGTTAATTAAAATTCATTAAATTAAGTATGCCACGTATGCAAAACAAATAATGTAACGAGGATTTTTTAAATCGATGTTGCATGATGATTCTTTCACTTCTAATGTCATTCTCAACTTTTTCCACATTTCGTTTTGCTTTTGATCTTTAAAGTTTTTAAAAGAAAGACACCTTTAAACTCTGCGTGCGTTATTGCAATCGTCATAGCTGAATGCTGTCTTTCTTTCCATAAAACTGACAACCTTTTCAATAGCTTTTTCAATTTCAGTCCAGGTTTCATCACAATCATGTTTCTTATTTCGTTGTCCATTGTGTCAGTGTGAACGCTGGAGAATAGTTTCTTTGGAATATTTTATATCATACAATGTTGACATTCCTATGTTAGTTACAATAAACTTTCACCAGCTTCTCGTCTGTTTAAAATTTCCACTATTTGTGTTGTTCTTTTCCTCTTATTCTCATCATCTTTTGCACCAACACAAGCCATTAGGGTGAAATCAGCTTAATTATCCAAAGTAAATTTCCTGAAAAACAGAAATTTCAAATCAGTTACATATCACCCAAATAATTAGAATATACGCATCAAAATCATGTCCGGATATGCGGGATTCTGGATATGAGGCACTCCGGATATGCGGGATTCCGGATATGCGGGGTTCCGGATATGCGGGATTCCGGATATGAGGGATACTGCTGTAATAAATTCAGGAACAATACTAATCAAATTACTAACATGGAGATGGACTGTTGTATAAATCCTTAGCAACCAGAATAACCGCTTTCTAGTCATTAATAACAACGAAGAATGCCACAGAGTCAACTCTTTTGTTAGACATAATATATCAAAAAGGAAAAAGTACAATACACTAAATGAGATAATATAAATTTACAAAAATATCACTGCATATGTAATAGTTACATACAATGTAATTGTCACATGGAAAGATAATAATGATCTAAACGAGGCAATGTAATTTCCGAATACATAAGGCAATATAAGTAAGAAATCGTGATAATTAATCAATATAGACACAACAAATGTAATAAATGCATAGCACAATATGATTTTATAAAAAATGTAAAAAAATGTAATAAATGCAAGAACAATATGATTTTATAACAAACTACATATGATTAACTACGTTTTATGAGTACAGAAGGGAATATAGCGAATATTTTCGTGAAATAATATAATTTATACATGAGTCAATCAGTGCGTTCCCAAGGCAATAAAATTCGTACAAGAGGCAACGTAATATGCACACACACAAGACAACAATAAAAGTATGCTACAAAAGAGAAACGGGACGAAATAAATTGATCGATAAATAAAAGAATGTTGCATGCAAAAAGACAAAGGCACACAAACAATCCTTGGAAAATGAAAAGCCACGGATGTTTATTGATTCAGAATAAAAAAATCACTTAACGTCTGTGTGTAATTGAATGACAAAACAGAAAAACATTCTTTGTAACGCGTTTCATCTTCCAAAAAAAAAAAAAATCATCAGACGAGAATAACATTGCAAAAGGTCCAGGACATGATTGTAGACATAATTTCATCTTGAACAAGTTTTAATTAAGTAAGGCGAAAATATATAGAAAATGTATTCTCAATTTTCAACCGTAAATTTTCATCTACAATTCACCTTTCTTAACACTTCTATGACAATGTCGGAGATCTAAAAGAAACAGTAATATAAACAAAAGCATTGGAAAGTTGAATAATGCCAATTAAACCGTTTCGGATCTTCTGCGCATGTGCGGAAGTAGTCGTGGATGCAATTAGGGAAGACGCCTGTTGTAATTTTGAATATTTGGAAATGCCTCTAGGGATGACTTTTTCCGAAAAAAAAGAGAGTAGAATTTTTTTTTTGTTTCTTAGGAAGTAACACGGTAATATAAACCTTTTGTATAGATGGATTAAATTATTACATTATTTATATTCGAACTTTTGTTGGTATCACAACGTTTTGGCCTTTGTGCCCTCCGGCCTTCAGTTGGATATTGATCTGAGTAACGTACAGGAAATTCTGAATTGAACCCTTTATTTAAACTACAGGGATAGAATGTTCCTGTTCCACGGCCCGCGACTCGGGATATCATAGTTCTTATTTTTTTTAGTACTACTTCGTTAATGCTCCTGTTTCCACTGAGTTTAACTACACTCTTCCCGGCCATGGGTACCTCGACATTGTGTAATGGTTAGCAAGCTGGTCTCGTTTGATCAATTACGGCTGAATAGTGAGTTAGATTCTCACTGGGTGCCCCAAACTTCTACGCTTAGAAAAATCGCGCGGTCCAAATGTCGAATTCTTTTTTTTGTTTTCCCTTTTCAGGATTTGTTTGTTCTTTTCGTTTTTTTTTTTATCTCTTTATGAGCGTCCAACCTATTTTACTTTTTATTCGTTATTTTTTTTATTATTTTGTTCCCATCTGCTTATTTTATTTTCTCTTTATGATGGAAAATATTGAACCCTGCCATTGTCTTCTTTTAGACTGTTTCCTTTTGTAGTGATCTAAGGAAAATGGACTTGCTCTATTTTGCGTAATAGTTTAGCGACTACTAAATAAGTCTGCTGTCACTCAGTAGGTGGAGCACATTACAGACGAAAAGACATCACAACATCTTTCTTTTTATCTTCTAGTTTTTTTTCTGTTGTCTCTTTCAGATAGACGGTAAGAAAGACTACTTTTCCTTTGTCAGTCTATTTCATTTCTATTCCCCATTTCAGTTTTTGTTTTCTCCCCATAATAAATAATATTTATTTATTTCAGTCTATTTCTTTTCTTGTTTCCCTTCCAGATTTTCTGTTTTCTCTTTATGAGAGGCTATACTAAAAAAATACAATTCCTTTTACAATCTATTTCTTTTCCATTCTATTACAAGTTTTGTTGTTTCCTCTTTTTTTGTCTTCTATATGAAATGTCCCTTCAGGGCCAGGGCGATTATGTCTCTCCACAACTTCCTCTTCTTTGTAGCTCTTAGTAAAGTTTATTTTTTTGCTATATCTCCTAATCTAATTTGTCAACTATTTATACAAATTGCTTAGGTAGATTATTATCTGCTTTTCTTTTGCTCCTTTTATCTTCTATATGTCCTGTGAGTGTCTAATTTCCCAAGCAGTCTTTTCTCGTTAAGTTCCCTATAAATTTATACTGTTTCTTTTTGATGCCACGTATAATTGTCCGTTTTGTTTCCATTTTCTCTCAAACTTTCTCGTTCCTCACATGTGCAGTACATGGTATTCTCAGCATCCTTCTGCAGAACCATATTTCTGTTGCCTCAAGTCTATTTTTCTCTTAGAGGAGATTGTTAAGCATTCACTAGCATTTAGGAGGACCGATATGACATGACAGTTCAGAACTCTTTTCTTTGTTTCTAACTAAATTTTCCTGTTTCTTATTACTTTACTTAGCTTTTGGCAAACATATTTCGCTATCAAAATACACCATTTGGAAAAAAATATTATACTTTTTTCACTCAGTTTTTGTTTCTTTTTCCCTTTCCCGTTTTTCTTTACGATTGGGTATATTGTCATTCTTTTTTATTTTCCATCTAAGTTTTGTTGTTTTCCGTACTTTGTTTATTAGGAATTATTTTAAAAAAATGAACAAGTGATAAAAAGTGGAATT